AGCAAAAGAGAGATTTTTTTTTTTTTTAAAAACGAAATTTCACCAGATATATATCAATAAAGCATGTCAATCCATCGGTATAAACAATATTTTTACTAATCCGGAGTAGTTTGTTGTCATCTGCTGCACAATCCAAGTATTTCCAACTTTGAGTGTAATGGGAGAGACTTCTACATAATTTATTAGCCACCATAGTTGATTCCTTTATATCAGCATCAATATGGAAGCAAACCAGTCCAAATCTAAAAAATATAAGTCTAAGTCTATTTCCATGTGTGATCTATGTAACATTGATACTCTATGAAACTCAAAGGCAAAAGAGAGAGTATGGTCCTAGTTTGTTCCATAATATGTTCTTCAACTTGTGTCAATTCCTATGCTAAAACCTCGTTTTTCGCTAGTTTAGACAATGTTCACTTTCATGTGTTGCATCAAACGATTCACCAAAAGTCTATTAGCTCAACTTGTAAAATATCTCTTGAGATGATATACGTGTATAGGCTTAGAACCTCTTAGTATTAAAAAAAAAAAGATGATTTAATAGTGTATTAACGTAATCACACGAATGTGATAAAAAAAATTGGAAGATTAAAGTTACTAAGCTATTTTCTAGAATCATAGGTCCGAATTTTAGAACAGAGGAAAATTGACATCTATCGTGAGATAACGGTACACGAATGTTCACCTAAAACGTAAATATAATAAAAACTTCACAGCCAACTTGAATAAGGAAGAAAAGTAAGAAAATATTTAGAAGTTAAAAAGGTGAAATGCTTCATTTACTGTGAATTCATAATGTTGGGGCATATAATATTAGCTTTCAGAAGGCACTCACTCCAGTTGACACCAAAAGAGAATAATGAGATTCCCAATCGTATTATTTGAAAAAAAAAAAAAAAATCTCAACTTAGAGAGCTTTTTTCACCTCGAAAAAGTTGGAGCGTGCATTGTTCGCTGCATCAATGTCTTCTGCGGATGCCACAGCTACCGTGACACCATTGTCTCTAACCGCATCTATTGCCCCTGCGAAATCCTTGAAGTCCTTCAAACTGTGGAACAGAGAAAGATTAAGAACATTAAAACTTTTAGTTATATATGCTAAGAGAAATATAACTGGGAGAATGGTAGAATGTCGTTAAATTAACCTTGTTGTTAATATCTCTTCACGCTTTCTTTGTCGTTCTTCGTCAGTCACTCCAAGTAAATGCCTCATTAAACTGGGTGAAAGAGATTTGACAATTTTCATTTTAAAATCTGTTGTTGAAATAGCCGACTAAAGAAAACACCGAAACAAAATATCCTTTACCTGCTATAACCTTTGGCATCAGGTAATTGGTATGAATCAACATCACCGATGGTTCCAATAATAGCTTTAGTGAGTGTCTCTTGGTCAACATCAAGACCACGCAAGAAATCTCCGGTTCCATCATATATGTCAAGTGTCTTCAACAAGTTCGGATCTCGGTAGGATAAGAAAGAAAATACTCCTGAAATAGAGATAAAATCCCCAAAAAAAAAGATCAGGTCAGGAGAAGAATATGTTAGGAAAACAATTCTTTTCACGTTCAAGAAAGTGACAAGCAGGTTTTTACCTGAATGCGAATCGAAATCACAGAAACCTCCATATGCACCACCGCTTACACGAACACGATCCCATAACCATGTATTACTAATATGCTTTGATATAACATATGCACTACCATCAAGCTCATACCCGGTGC